TGGGGCTGGGGAGATGGGGGGGGGGGGGGGGGGGTCCCTGCAGAGAGCTGTGAGTGAAAGTCACGGCTCACTGCAGGGATAGATCGAGAAGTGACCAAGCGACAGTATGTCTTTGCTCACTTCCCGATCTACTGAGCCGACCTGTGACAGTTTCATTGGCACAGGTCGGCTCAGATTATGAGGCTGAGTGAAAATCACTCGCCTCATAATTCTCCTTTAAGGTCACACATTGTGAACACATTAACACGCACAATGACATGTTTGATGTGTTGTGTTACCTGTGCTCCATTATGTTCTATGAGTCCTCAATGGGCAAAACATACCTGACCCCTTTTTACCTCAATGCACTGCAATTGTGGTAGATTAGAAGGTCAGCTGTGTTCCTGACTGTGAATGTGTGTTGGAGGCCCTATTATAAATGAGAGGGAGCACAGCAAGCACACACAGATGAGAAGCCGGCCTACAACTAATTTTATCTGCATGTGAATGTCATGTCAGGGCTCTTTAGGGTGAATAATATTTGACAATATGGATGATATATTAAACTTTAACTTTCCTTACTTATTAGCAGGAAAAATCCCAGGATCTGCAGTGTTAGTGTTTGAGATCCTCGTGGTTGATTTCCACAACCCAGATGACTCTGTCAGCATCACAGCACAGCTTAAGCCAATCAACTGTACAGTCCTGAGCAAAAAGGGAGATTACCTGAAGTATCACTACAATGCCACTCTCATGGATGGAACTGTACTAGACTCAACGTAAGGGCAACAACCAATATAATGGAAATGTATATACTGTATGTATAGCAACACGCTATTTGTATACATGTATGATATCTGCACTGTGCCATGGTATACTAGACAATGTCATATTCATGTACTATATATGCTACAACAGTGAGATTGAGAAGTTTGTTTCATATGTAACAAGAATGTATGTAGTATATGGGCCTGCTGCCCTCACTGAACATGACGAAGGGGTCGCTCAACAGAAGATCAAATCCTTGATATGTGGTAAGGAGCACCTCTTAAAAAGGTTTTTATTTGAATGGAAACGTCAGATACAGCCAACACTTTTCAGGGGCAATCAAACCCCCTTCCTCAAGGCTTGAGCAACAGTAAGTAGTGAATTCAGGAAAAGCTGAACTCTAGTCTAAAATAGGACTGGATGAGCGCTGAGTAACCCATTTGCAGTGAGAACTGGGTCTGTCGGTGTAGTGTAGTTTAATTCCTTGGTTCTCAACTGGTGGGTCGTGACCCAAAAGTGGATCGCGACCCTGTGTTCAGTGGGTCGCCGCGTGCTTTCCACTTTTCTGCACCTCTGCCTCCCCCTAGCGCAGCACTGTCAGTTCTCACAACGAGCAGTCATTCAAAACATGCTGCCTGGCACCGAGTGTCAGCTTGAGGTGGAATGGGATGGGGCTATGGACGCGAGTGAGCTCCATCCACCCGTGCATTGCTTACAGCTCCCTCACATGTCCTGTAGAGGTGCCTGGACTGGAGTGGTATCACATTCTGGCTCCGGGCACCTCTACAGGGCACGCAAGGGAGCTGTACAAGCAATGCACATATGGATGGAGTTCCAGATTAGCAGCCCACACCGGACCTCAGGCTGAGGATCCACTCCAGTTCTTGTAAGGTAGGGAGACTGGGTGGACCTTAAAAAAGTGTGTCAGATTGTGTCTGTGTATGTATGTCAGTGTTTTTGAGGACCCGTTCACACTAGTATAGTATGGTAAACTATACCACGCAATCGCACCTACCGTACATTCTGGTGTGGGAGATGTGTTGCGTTGTCATTCATTTGAATGGTACCCTAAACGCACCTCCCACCCACAGTTTGTACGCCGCCACCGAAACGCACGGTAGCCTAATGCCGTGCGTTCCATTGCAGTGGTCATGACTTAATGACCAAGGACAAATGTGGGTCCTGAGGTTATACAGGTTGCGAACCACTGGATTATTTCATGGGGGGGGGGTATTGGTAATGTAGCTTTTACAAATGTTACAGCTGTATTTCAACATCTAGTTTCAAAAACACTTCTTATCAGTGTTGTAATTGGTTCAGAAGAGGAATGATTCCAGCATGATAAAATATAATACAGATATGATTGTGTGCTGTAAAGAAGTCTTTATAGAAGAGAAGGAATGTATTGAATTCCCTGTGAGACCACTAAGTCAGGGTTTATATGCAGGTTTAGGCTACAGCTGAATTTGTAGCAGTTATATTTCCCTGAGAGTTTTCTTCCATTTGGAAGGCGAGAAATGTAAGCAGTGATGAGGATATGGCTTAAAAGCAAGTCAAGGAATGATGACACAGCACAGTGTAAGTGTTACATTTTAGTACTTTGTATCAGCTTTGGAGCCCCCCCCCACTCCCCTCACTGCATAGACCGTCAGAAAGGGAAAAATCCATAACAACTGAAAGTAAAATGTATATCATTTAATTAGAAATCTTTTATTTATAAAAATGCCATAATGCAATGAATTCAGATTTATGTAGAGCTATCCTGCACAACAATCCAACCTGTATATGTTGTTAGACTCCTACTTCTGATTAGCATTGCATTATGGGAGTACCTCCACAGCATCTATAGATATATAGGTTAACCTACGTTTCTCAAGCTTTATCAGTCACAACACTCTTGTGTTGCAAAATCTCAAGGTACACCATTCTATAATATACAAATGTCAAAAAGGATGTGTGGCCCCTCCAAAGTACAGACAGGACAGAGGTCTGGTATGGATTTTCAGGGGGCCTCCCATGCAGAAGCCCCCCTTGATATTAGGAGCCCCCCTTTACATTAGGATCACCCTGCTTTCACATCAGAGACCCCCCTTACACTAGGAGCCCACCTTTACATCAGAAGCCCCCCTACACATCAGAGCCCCCGCCTTTCACATCACAACCTTACCTTAAAATCAAAAGCCCCCCCCCTTCACATCAAGAGTCCCTTCTTTCACATCAGAGCCCCCCTCCACACTATAAGCCCCCCCTTTACATTAGGATTTTCCCTTCACATGAGGCCCCTTCTTTCACTCATCAAGAGCGCATCTTTCACATCAGAGTTCACCTTTACATTAGGATCACCCTGCTTTCACATCAGAGACCCCCCCTTACACTAGGAGCCCACCTTTACATAAGAAGCCCCCCTACACATCAGAGGCCCCGCCCTTCACATCAAAGCCTCACCTTAAAATCACAAGTCCCCCCCTTCACATCAAGAGTCAATTCTTTCACATCAGAGCCACCCTCCACACTATTAGCCCCCCATTACATTAGAATTTTCCTTTCACATCCGAGTCCCCCCATCGTATCACAAGCCTCCTTCAAATCAGGAGCCATTCCTTTCACACATCAGGAGCCCCCTTCACATCACAGTCCACAGTGTCGTGTCACCTTCAGATCAGAGCCCTACCACCACATCAGGAGCCACTCCACCATGGCAGAGGAGGGACGGAGACAGACTTTCATCCTTTTATGACTACATACCACCTTCCCTGGACTAGCTTGATTAGTTTTGGTGGTGCTGGCGACCAGCCTAACTGCATCATGGAAAGGCATGACGCTGAGGAAGCCAGAAGGAACGCCAGGATGTCGCAGCACCCTGGTTGAGAAAGGTTGATCTGAATATGTACTAACCCTTGGGAAAGAACCCAGTGGGGGGAAATCTGCAATAGGGGGACACAGAAATATAAATCAGGCAGGGGTGTAACCTAGGCAGGAGCCTAAGGCCTGGTGGATGTCCAGGGAGCCCAGCTACAACCTTCATGCTCCTAAAGTAAGCAAGGGGAATAGTGCAGTTTGTCAAAGCTGTACACCTGCCTGTCACTTCACAAGTCAGGATAACCTTATAGACAGTTGGTGCCTGATGGGGCCATACCAGTATAGACAATACAAATGGGGTGGTTTCAATCCTTATAAATGGCGTGATAAGGAATAGGGGACAAAGTTGCCACCCTGCTAGGGCCACCCTAGGGCTTCATTCTGCCTTCATCTGTATTTAGAGCACAGGTTACTTCAGTTAAAGCTTGGCTTTCACGTCTTTGCCTCCTTGTAATTGTCGGCACCCATCACATCAAGAGATAGGCTCTGGAGGTAAGGAGAAGCCCTGACTTTTACAGTAAATGCCAGGATTTGAATATCATTGTATTCCTTCATTTTACCTGCCTATACCTTTGGATCTACTGATCAGTTCTATATGCAGAAACCTCCCCCATTTAGTTGATTTGCACTATAGATTAAGTGTTCTACAGTTAACTCCAAATGGAGAGTTGAGATAGACTCGTCCAAGAGCCAACTTGTGTTGTAGGGTTTCCTGCTCACTTTTATTTGAATTGAAGCTGCTTAACAAAGGCATTTTGCAGGTGCAGTTTAGGAATGACACAGATATATAGGTAATATTCAGCCCCCAGATCTGTCTATTTCCTCCCTGGAGCCATCTCAATCTCTGATGTAGTGGTTCCCTCAGCCACAGACTGCTACTCTAGTTTTCTCACACACAGACTGCTACTTGTTTAGCTCAGGGACACAGGTCTGCTCAGACTCTGTCTCTCCAACTCTTATCCTCCAGCGCCAGTCTGGTTCCAGGTCAGATAGGCCTGGACACACGCTCCTTACATGTCCAAACACGCCTTGCTCTTGCATTATACAGACTGATTGTGGGTAAGAGCCACCTGTCTTCAGTCCGTCTCCTCCCTTCAGGGACCCTTTTGCTGCACTTACAGGCTCTCCCAGTGCCACCCATCACCTTTACACCATGACAGACAGTGTTTCTGTCACACAGGACATGTTATTAGCATAACTGATCATTGAAAGGAAATTGAACTAAGGGCACACGGTTTTCCTACAGAGAATGAATTTGTTCTTTTTACAGATAAACATTCTAGCTCGAATAAACACACAGCAGCTGTCTTTTCCATGTGTTTCAAGGGCTTCAGCTTACTCTATCAGCAGAAAAAAGAAAACATTCAGCCACATAGAAATGAAGGTCTATACAAAAGAAGAAAAGGTTCATCATCATCATAGCTTGTATATGTGTTTGTATCCATGTAAACATCTGTCTACGGGTACATGGAGTTCTGTCCTTTAACTTTTACATACATATATGTGACCTGTTTTATCCCCTACGGCACATGTGTCAGACTCAAGGCCCAGGGGCCGAATCCGGCCCACCAGGCCATTTCCTAGACTTCTACTTTCACATCTAAGTATTAAGTTATTACTAAAACCATTGATAATCGAATGCAGAGGCAATTATGATAAAGATTAGATACATTTATATAGTCTTACAGGTCCTTTGAGGGCAACCATAATGTTGACGCGGCCCACGATTAAATTGAGTTTGACACCCCTGCCCTAGGGATTGTAATTTTGTCACGGCCCTGCCAGGAGGAGCAGCTTCGAATTGTATTTAAAGGCCAACGTTTTGCAAGTTTTGGCTTGAGTGGTAAGGCGTTAGAACAGCTTTCAGGTTTTTATTTATGTCTGTATCCCCACTAAAGAGAGTTACCCTCTCTACATGTCCTGGTGACCATTGTCCCTTGTATAGAAAGTCACGAGCAATCCAAATATTACAGTTGTCACTATAACAGGAAGTGAGGGGAAATTGTACAATGGGAACACTTGTTCCAGTTACAGCTGTCTAAGAGGGGCTGTCACTCACTATGGAGAGATGTCTTCTAGCTTGCTGTTGTGTATCTGGGAAAGGAAATGAAGGGGGAGATGTGAAGAGAAATCTCCCGAATGGAATACATACAGCAAAATAACAAGAACGTGACAGGGCAACCATTGGCTTTAGATGTATTTCATTGTTTCCCGGATCACCTCCCTGCTACCTGATGCTAATTCATTTCCATTACAGTTGGAATTGATATTTATTGATACATTGTAATCTCTATATACAGTAAAACCTGTTTGTCAAATTATATTTGTTTGGCTGTAATTCTGATTTCTTTCCCCAGGCACCAGTATGGCAAAACCTACAACATAGTATTGGAATCTGGTCAGGTTGTAATGGGAATGGACATTGGCTTAAGAGATATGTGCGTTGGAGAGAGGCGTACAGTCATTATACCTCCACATCTGGGTTATGGAGAAGCTGGAGTAGGTAAGTTCAAGCTAAACTCACAGGTGACCTACGCACATGTGAACTGTCTTAAAAGAGAACTATGGCCAAAACTTTTATGGTGTTAGCCCTCTTTTTGGGCTACTAATGTCCTCCTGTGACCCAGAACTCAGCAAATAGTGGGCTATTGCCTGGAGTATGCTGACCGCTCAGAGCTGCGCTCATTTTTTAGATGCCTGCTGCCTGAATGACAACTGGCTCTGCCTCTCAAGAGCCAGAGACAACTGTGCCCGCCCCCTCGCCTGTCTGTCCCTCCACTCAGCAGTGGAGGAATGGAGAGGGAGAAGTCCCTGCGGGGAGCGGTGACTGACACCCACCGCTCTCTGCAGGGAGAAGATCATGAACTGAGCGGTCAGCGTTTTGTGATCACGCAGTTCTCGATCTATAGAGCCAACATGTGACAGCTTCAGTGTCACACGTCAGCTCTAACTGTGGGGATGAGTATATTTCACTCTCCCCATAATTCTCCTTCAACTGCCCAAATAATTCTTTAGTCTCTTTTGTAATTTGTATACCTCTGCCAGGCAGCACAGTCAGGAGGGTGACACTACTTTCTCTGTTAGAGATAAGGAATACCCTGGTGTCACCTACCTGCCCCCAGCCCACTCATTGGACAGTAGAGCAAGAAGAACATACTAGTTAGTCATAAACTCTGCTCCTCTCCTCCTAGCATCATCTTCATACAGCTCTCCCAGTCTGAGTGCCACTGTACAGGGAACAGAAAGATGGATGAAAAATAAGTAATGAAGCACACAAGTTACATTACACACTAAAGATTTAGGATGTAAAAGAACAGTCCAGGCAGTCTAGGTACTTTTTGAACAATGTATTTTGTAATGAGGGTAAAGGTTATATCTCCCATTGGAATGCTTGTTTAGTATCACCTTCCTACCATTAATGATTAGAAACAACGTCACCTTGCAATTTGATTCTCATCAGAGTCTCTCTCTGTGTTTGTGTAGACGATCAGGGTTCCCCTTACAGTCTGAAAGCCGAGTGTGTGTTTTGTGTTACTGTAGCTGGTAAGCCAAGTGATGCAGGACAGCTGTTGTCTGTCATGTGTGGACCGATGTGTACAAATAACCTTCCTTTAAATTGAATGTCTTTTCACCTTTTCCACAATGTGACAGAGGGGGAAGTCCCCGGAAGTGCAGTGCTGATTTTCGACATTGAGCTACTGGAGTTGATACCAGGTCTACCTGACGGTTACATGTTTGTGTGGAATGGAGACGTGTCACCCAACCTGTTTGAAGATATTGACAAGAACAGCAATGGGGAGATACTGCTCCAAGAGGTAAGCATCAGACCTGCATGGCTATATACCAATCATGAAAAGAGAATTGTGGTGCCATCAAATAATGGATTGGCAGATACAGCAAAACTATCGGATAAATACATCATCTCTTTTTATACCATTTGATAGACCTCCTTATATCGTTTTTTCTATCCTGTTATTTGGTTCATCTTCATCTAAAAACTGAGAATCTTATTTGGTAATTTGTGACTGACAATGATATTCCAGTTTTTGGGATGTACAGTATAGGGAGCTCTACTTACTATATAAAAGAATGTGATAAATATGGAACAATATTCATAAGTGGTGTAGCTAAATGTTGCTGGCTTCCATTGTGATATCCGTACTCTCAAATGTTAACACTCTCACATGTTTCTGCTGAATAAAAAAAGAAGAAAGGACCACTTGTGCTTAGTCCAGTAACTGGCAATCACTAAAGTCCACAGCACATGAAGGCAAATAGAACATGGGGAAATCCACTTTCACTTGTCCTGCAGCGCCAGTAACAGCAGGCAGGGATGGCCCATAACTATACAAGGAAATGGAGAACAGGGCACAAGGACCCAAAGGTTACACTCACTGTCCTCAGAAATGGCGCATATACACCAATCAGACATAACATTATGACCACTGGGAGGTGAAGTGAATAACATGATCTCTTACAATGGCACCTGGAAGTGGGTGGGATATATTAGGTAGCAAGTGAACATTTTGTCTCCGAAGTTCATGTGTTGGAAGCATGTGGGTGGCTGGGTGCATGTGTGTCGCTTACCTGGGGGAGAGATGGGACCAGGGTGCACTATGAGAAGAAAACAAGCCAGCAGAGGTAGTGTGATGCTGGGAGACCTTGGGTCCTGCCATTCATGTGGGTGTTACTTTGATACGTATCACCTACCTAAACCTTGTTGCTGAACAAGTAAACCCCTTTGTGATAATGGTATTCCCTGATGGCATTGGCCTCTTTCAGCAGGATAATGGGCCCTGCCACACTGCAAAAATGGTTTGAGGAACATGTCTGTGTGTCCTATTCTCTGTTGTCATTATGTCTAACATTTTCTGATTACCCAGTTCCTGAGATGTATTCCACCAGCCTCACTAGAAACTACCCAGTGCTTTGTGGTATTCTATTTCCTGATTCTGTCTGTCACACGTGGCTGCCCAGGAATACAGATGCCCAGGCCTGTCAGAGTTTGTGCGGAACGAGAGGCAGACGGATTTGCCGCTAAGTGTCTCACCAATTCCCTTGATAAATGTTCTCCAGAGTGTGTTGGGCTGATTTCAGAAGCAGTTCAACCCCTCCCTCTTAACTTCTCCTGTTATCTTGCACTATGGTACACTTAGTTAAAGGAGAAGTGTGGGGAAAGTAAAATATAGTCTCCCCGCTACCTAGAGCCAGCATGGGACACTGCAAATGTCCCACGCTGGCTCTATACCAAGAGGTGAGCAATCATGTAACCACTGATCACGCTGCTCTTGGTCTCCTCTCCCTGCAGAGAATAGTGACCGTCAGTCACCCCTCCCTGCAGTGATGTCCTCTCCCCTTTCCATTCCTCCAGCACTCATTGGAGGGACAGACGGGGGAGGGGCCATGCATGGCTGGCTCTTGAGAGGCAGGGCCAGATGACACTTAGTAAATCTACTCCTGTGACCCAAAAGAGACGTAAAGCCAACATGTTTGGCTTTACTTCTTTTTTAAGTTGCCTTTGTTTTTTATTAATCTCGTTTCAATCTCCACCACTCTCTGATCACAATCTCCTAGCATTAACCCTTTTCTCCTCCGCTCCCAAACCTCAGAGAATCCCCATACACATGCCACCAGGAAAGCTCTGTCTGCTTACATATGCTGAGGCTGCGTTCAGGAGCATATATCCTGCATACAGCCTGAGGTTTATTAGTAAAGCATTATATTATTAAGAATAAAAACCATTGAGGGGAATTTATCAAAACTAGAGCAGACGCCCAGAGCAACCCACCAGCTTCTATCTTTCATTTTCCAAGCTTCACTGGACAGACAATAGAAGCTGATTGCACCAAGGCATAGAAATAAAGCACCGCTCCATCACGGCTTTAGCAGGAGAAAGACAGCCGGGTGCTCACCTGCAGGAGTGTGTCCTCGCTCCAACCAAACATGTATATAGTAAAGGATTAATGCGTCAACACTTCATTTCACGCTGGATCAGTTTATTGCAAGTTCGTCAGTGACATGGAGTCCTGCCCAAGGTCCGCCCCCCGTGACATGTTTCACCCAGTCCTGGGCTTAGTCATAGAGAAAGCCCAGAATTGGGTGAAACATGTCAGAGGGAGCGAGGCTCGGGCAGCACTTTAAATAACCGGATTCAGCGTGGAGTACGGGCGATTTCTCCTTTACCATAGAAGCTGATTGGTTGCTATGACCAACTTCTCCAGTTTTGTGTTTATTCTGGTGACCTCACTATGTGAAAGCTCTGGTGCCTGAGCATTAACATGTGATAAATAAATGTACCTTGCTGCACTCCTTACTGGATTCTGTAGATAACCAATGCATGCAGGTGGGTGCTTGCAGTGACCACGGTTGGCGCTGTGATTAATATACAATTTCAAAGTGTCACCAGCACAACATGCTGAATGTGTCATTGAAATGGACGTTTGCTAAACACATCTAGCGTGGCGTGCTGGTGACTAACGTGGTCACATGCTCCTCTATTCCTGGCATGTACACAGTGGTGGGGGAGTAAAGGAAAGGTGAGTATGTGCTGCTGGGAAAGAGGGGATTAAAGTGAACCTGTTGTGGTTACCGGACCTTTACATAAGTGGACATTGTAGCAGATTGTCATAGTATTTGACATAATTGTGAAAGTGGAAGAACTCACCAGGTTAATGTGTTTCCAGTTTGCAGATTACATTAAAACCCAAGTGGATGCTGGGAAAGGAAAACTGGCTCCTGGTTTTGACGCCGACAAGATTATCGAGAACATGTACAAAAATCAGGACCGGAATGAAGACGGCAAAATTACAGAAGCGGAGTTCAAGTTAAAAGACCAGGAGGATAAAGAGAGACACGACGAGCTGTAATCTTCCAGCACATTGGGTCTGGATGCTGTGAACGTCTTGTGACAGAACACTCATTCGTTTGGACATGTTTATTGTGAGAACACAGGCACAGGAGTGAACTTTCCATCCATCTCCTGGCACCTGTGACAAGCTAGATTATAGTGGAACCTCAGAATTCTGTAGTACGTAAAGGCAGTTCTTTGTCTTCAGGTTGGGGTAGAGTGGGGAAGGGTTCGGAACCTCTGCTGATCATTGATGGCAAATCCAATATTTTAGAGTTGTGCCCAGAGCAGGAAGTGAGGGAAATCCTCTTATTGGAACACTGGCTCCGATGACAACGTTGGGAATTCTATTTAGAGGGATTTCCTCTCACTTCCTGTTGCGCCTCCAGGACAAGTGAAGCCAAAGCTCCCCAGCAGAACATAGTGCAGCAAAATATATAATCAGTCTCAAACCTTCCCTACTCTATCCATATTACAAAAAGTCTTGGCTTTATATTTTAGGATGCTTCCGTAAGGCTGGATTCACACTGTTGTAGTGCGTTCACATGTGTTACTTTGCATGTGAAAGCGTCCATTCATTTGGATTGGCTGCCTAACACACCAAATAAAAAGGTACATGCACGGTTTCCTATGTCTAGGGGTTTGCCGTGGTGACCGGGTGCATTGGGGTGCTATTATAAATGAATGGCCCCACAGTGCGCCAGTGTGCATACAATGCCATAATGTACATGTTGCCGCAGCACAACAGTGTGAACCCAGCCGAAAGGACCCAAATAACTTCATGTGATTGTTGTGCTGGTCTCATTCTGCAGGAGGTTGGCAGTTGACCAATCACGTTGTTAGAGAGGTATGAATGTGCTATGATGGGACAAGACAGATTGAGACAAATCTCCCCTTGGACTTGTTGATGAGGACTCACAAATTCGAATGTTTAGGTATGAGGTCAGGTGAATTCGATTTGGATACGCCTGTTTTCAGGTACATGTGAATTGGCCTGGCGCTGCCAGAGGCTGTACCCTCAGTGTCATTAACAAGACTCAGATGGAGCGTTCACACAGACGGTTTAAATTCAAACATTTGTTCTATTTAAAACACTTTGCCTGATTTCCACACATGTCCGCATGTGTTATGCTTGTTATAACGTCCACGTGCTGGTGTGCATTGTAAATGACGGTGCAGTGCGTTGTTACAACACATCACACGGTTTACTTTCACTTTATTGAAAGTTCTAAAAATGTAATTGCATGCACTGCAGCGCGTTGCAGCATGCTGAGGTGCACTGACATGCAGCGATCGCATTGTATAAGAATGCCGACATGCTGCCTCTCTATGCACATCACTACACATGTGTGGTAAACGGCATGTAGAGGAGATTTGTTTTCTATGTGCCCTTGTGTTGAGTCTGACCTGATCAATGTGTGAACAAACCCTTAGGGCTCAGTCACACTAGATGCAGTGCGTTCCGGCCCGATTTTGGCCGGAACGCACTGCCTCGCATTGCGGCCAGCTCACTTTTTAGTGGGGTAGGAAGGGGCGTGGTGAGCCATTCAAGTGAAATGGCGCCGTAGCCACGCCCTCCGGACGGAAACGCACTGCATCTAGTGTGACTGAGCCCTCGAACCTTTCTTTCTCTACCCCACATGGTTTCTTGAAGAGGCATTTATTATGAAGAGCAATGTGTTCAAACATCTCAAGTTCTGATTTCTGGATCTTGGAATGTGTGCTGTGGGGACATTCTGCCTGTCATGTCCTTTCCTTTGATGTCATGTTTTTGTATAAAGAAACAATAAATCACATTGTGTGAGATAGATGTGTGTGAACATGCATGGAAATCGGATAGAACTTTGACAGCTATCGAGTTCTTAGCAATCCTTCTGCTCACAGGAGAGCGATTGTTTACAGTGTAACCACATTCCAGGGTCTGACTACACTCATACAATTTGGCCCCAGAACACGTGATGGATGGCTGTGGGCCCATATAGCAGATCACAATTGAATGCCAATTACTCAGCATCAGAACTGTATTCTCAGCCTTGGGCACAATGGCGGCTGTAGAACTGTGAGACACATTTCGGCCTCCTGTCTGTAAATCAGACTTTTTTCAGAAATGGTTTTCTATTTGTTTTGTAGGTGGGACGGGTAGAGTAATAAGAGGGAGACGATATTTCAGCTATAGGCATCCATTGTCAGCTGCCAGTTTAGAACATTCCGTATAAACTGAATTGTCTTGTTTTAACTGGTTTAGTCCTTAACTCAAAAAGAAAAAAAAAAGTGTATATACTAATGAGTGCCGGAAGAGAAGTTTTGATAAATAAAGTGCTGATAAACTCTGGACTTGTGCATTACATTGGGATATGAATACGGTCAGCAAAGCCATCTATGGAGGTGGGGGCTCAGTTAGAAAACCCTAGCGGCATTACATGCAGCCACTAGGTGGAGCTAGAGGAGAATAGGATTGTCTTAGGCTCTTCGGGTGCCAGTAATACTGGACTAATACTGTGCGCTGGGCAAAGCTTCTATAAATCAGCTCCTACCAGAGCATACGGCGACACAGCGCTGCATATAAGGGACTGTTTACACCAGCCCCGTTGGGATGCTTTGTCCAATGCAGTAAGCGGCCCTTTAAACTTTTTCATAGATTCGCCTGCCGGAGGTCCCGCGCTTGATGGGAACCTCAGGCAGCTGTCTTTGACAGTGCCTGTCCGGTTGTACATTGCCTCCTCCTACTTCCCACACCAGCACAACAAAGGACAGATCCACACCCGCCTGTATGAGCCTGAGACCCACTCGTTCAGCAGGACACCCACCCTCCTGCAGAGCCAGACCCAAACGCAGCCCTGAAGACCTCTGTAAGCGGCCCTGGTGACATCCGCTCGCAGCCCTGGTGAGAAGCTGCCCTAAAATCATCAGTCTGTTTTGTTTTAGAAAAAGGGCCACATGACCCTTTAAGAAAAAGTATCGGTAATTGGTATCGGCAAGTACTTGAGGGAAAGTACTCGTACTTGGTCTTGAAAAAATGGTACTGGGACATCCCTGGCCATCAGGCGTGGCAAATGAGTTGTTATTACCACCCTGGTGTCTCTGTGGATTCGGTTTGTGACAGGCCTTGTTCCCTATTCCAGGCTCTACAGCGGTCACTGTGGCTTTCTAGACTTCTATAGGGAAACCTTGCTAGTAAAGACGTCTGCAGGTCCTGGTAGGAAGGATCCTTGACATGAGGTCTGTAAATAAATGCAATATTGAATTTGATGCCCAAAGTCGGAATTCACACGTCATTCAGCATCCCCCAGCCTGATGGTTTGTTTTTTTAAACCCGAAATAAGCAACAAATATGACAAAATAAACGTAGTCAGCCAACACATTTATAAGGTGACACTTTATAGCGGAACAATAGAACGAATACAAAACTGTACAAACAGCACTTCAGAACATGCACATCATTTGGCCTTTGGAGAATATGTTTGTACAAAATACAACAACAGCTAAAACTGAATATGAAAATAAAACATCCCATCTAGTATTTCACCGATAGAATGAACGCCATTCTACACCTGTGGTGAACCTCGCTTGCACGCAGGCTTCACATCTCGGCCGAAGGGCGTTGTGGAGGTAAAGCAGCGCAATGCTGAACGTAAGGTGCTTTATAATTCTAAAATATTTCTATTAAATATTTGTACATTACCAAAAAAAAAAAATGATAAAGTAAAGTTCCCTCTGCTCAGGAAACGCGGCTGGTCAGTAGTGAGCATGGAAGATCCAGTCCAGCTCACAGGATCTTCTGCAGGATGGAGTTGGCCACATCCAGAGATTCATCTTTCACTAAAACGATGTCATAGGAGTCCATATATTTCTCTAATAACTCTTCCACCTGGAAGTACAAAAAACAAAGTTATAAAACCATCCACAGATGAATCTCAGCGTTACTCGCCATCTCCTACAACCCACAACACTGTAAAGTCTGCACTTCTGTAGACCCCGGGCCATTGTCTCACACCAAGCTTGTTTCTTTGGACTACCGGTGGCAATAGTCACCCACCCCGAGCTCTCTATCCTCTGTAAGCAAAAGGAAGATATGCAGAAAATGAATTGCAATCAAACAGCTTCACTGTCGTCGCAATACAATGCACACATCAGAAGATTCATTCAGCCACATGGATAGAGGAATGGTAAAGATATGTCCATGTGTAACCAGCTTTAGGCCTCTCAGCAGACCAGACTACAATCCTTCAGTTCAGCCTGGTCTGTAACCTGCCCCAACAGTTTGGCTGAACACTTAGACCTGGGGTGGGCGGACTCCGACCTTCCAACTGTGGGGGAAATACAAATTCGATGCATCTGCCTCTGGGAGTCATACCAGTGGCTGTCGGTCTTGCAAAGCCTCATGGGATTTGTAGTTACACCACAGCTAGAGGGCTGCAGTTGTCCCACCCCTGAATAAGACCATCACTCTGATTTGTCCTTCTTCCAGAAAGCTTCCATTGTTAGACCGTACTGTGCAGTGCTGCCCTCCTGCTCCCAGTCTAACGTTGCTGTCTAGTAGAGTGCAGGAGAGATTAAAGTGACACTACAATCAGGAGTGAAATCTGAAATATATATATATATTCGTGTACCCCAACTATTCGTGTACCCCAACTATTAACAGTACGCATCACTCACGTGTAGGTCCTCAAATCATCTCTGAATTCATGCCGACTAGGGCTGCAACAACTAAATCGACATAATCGATTATAATCGATTATTGAAAAAGTTGTCAACTATTTCAATCATCGATTAATCGGCTTCCGATTGGTTGCCCCTGTTCACGGCTCCACACACGCTGCGCGCCACACCTCCTCCCCACCTCAGACCCGCCCGCATCCATGCTCCACACGCCACACCTCCTCCCTGCCTCACGCTCACTGCCCGCCCAAATCCACGGTCGGCACAGGGACGCAGGGAGAAGAAGTAAGGAGGAGCAGGTGTGGGCGGATGACAGCCGCCGATAGACAGGCCCCATCTCAGAAACAGGTTGCTGGAAGACTGCTCAGGTAAGCCTGCACTTTCCCCACATGGTGCTCTATAATCTATGGCTGGGATAGTGGGATTTGTATTC